GTTCTCTCCCTTGGCAGGATGGACCTGGCTTCTATACTACCAGGTGCCTTGCGCCCATGATGTCTGAAGTCATCCGCATCCTCCAGGTTGGTATTGCTCTCCAGAGTGTTTGAGGCATCTTCCACTCCTTCAGTCACTCCAAAACTCACAATGTCAAGATAAGGACCAAGCTGCCTTCTAATATACCAACTACTGCTCTTGTCTAGGAAGGTCCCTGGTGCCCTCTCTCTGCACAGAAGTCAGAAGTTGGGCTCATACTGCATTGAAAGGGGCAGAGCTTTCCCTCCGCCCCACAGCCCCCTCACTGTTCCAGCAAGCTAAAGGCCCCCCACAGCATGTCTTCTATGCTGTTTCTGCACCTCTCTGAGGAAGGGACCATCCAGAACAGGGCCTGCTTGGTTCAACTGGTGCTGCATCTGTTTCTGCAGCACACAGAACCCTCTAGTAGCCATCGAGGTCATTCTGGCAGGAGAGGAGAGGGATCCTCCTCTCTGGGCACTTAACCAGACTCGGGGATCACAGGGCTCTGAGTGCTGCTTTTTGATGATGTTTCTTCTGTTGGTCATGACACATTCAGCCATCTGTCACGGAATCTCATTATTGAGATTCAGAAATGCAAACAAGAAGAAAATGAAAAATTTAGTCATCTCTAAACGTCCTTAAACTGCTGTAGATTAGAGAAGGCTCAGACTTTCCACTTGTGGCCCCAAACTTCTTTGTGCTTCCCTGAATGAATAGCACCAGTCCTGGGCCTGGTCAGGTGACACTCAGAAGTGGGTTTTACACAAGGCAGTGTTTGGAGCCAGTACAGGGAGCCCTTTGGGGGGATTTGGGCTGCCCTTCCCCAGAGGTCCCTGCTTCGCTTCCTGTTCAGGAAGGAGTTGACCCGAAGAAGCTGGATTCCCTGACCACAAGTTTTGGCTTTCCTGTGGGTGCCGCCACACTGGTGGATGAAGTTGGCGTGGATGTAGCAAAACATGTGGCGGAAGATCTGGGCAAAGTCTTTGGGGAGCGGTTTGGAGGCGGAAACCCAGAACTGCTGACACAGATGGTGTCCAAGGGCTTCCTAGGTGAGTAGCCTCAAGGAAACATAACTAGCACCACTAGTTATAAAGTTCTGAGCAGTTCCTGTGACCAAAGAGTTACAGAAGCCCTCCTGGAAGAAAGTTTTCTAAACACAGAGCCCTTGTCATTGGAGATTTCAAAAATGATTTCATGAGTCAGGTGCGGTAGCAACCACTTATGGTCTTAGCTGCTTAGGAGGCTGAGGTGGGAGGATCGCTTGAGCCCAGGAGTTTGAGGCCAGCCTGGGCAACATGGTGACGCCCCTTCCTTTATATATTAAAAAAAAGAAAACAGTCATGTGAACCTTCTAAGGCCTAGGACTATAGATTATGGACAAAAGGCAGAGTTCTACCCTTCTGGGGCTCTAGCATCACCTGGTCCAAGTTATGCCAGATGGACAAGCATTTTTATCCCCCAGAGACGAAATCTATGCTAGTGCAGAAGCAAGCTCTGCATCCGGGCTTTACCATGTTGTCTGGCCAGCTGCGGGGAGAAAGTATAAGCTCACAATACACAGTATACAGTTGAGGCCCACAGGGGACTTTCTCAGCAAAATAGCAAAATCAGCATTACAACCTGGGTGTCCTAGGGCCTGGTGTTGCATATCAGGATGTTAAAACTCAGCCAGGTGGCCTTTCTCATCCAGGTACACAGATGCCCAAGATCCAGGTCGCAAGATGATCTTTCCCTCTGCCCACTCTTCTGACAACGACTAATTTGCTAGGGTTAGTTAGACATACAAATTCAGGAATTCAGAAGAGGCCAGAGCTTTATAATAGACCAACAGAGACAAGAATTCTCAGGCCAGGGTTGTTTTTTTGTTTTTGTTTTTGTTTTTTGAGACAGTCTCACTCTGTGGCCCAGGCTGGAGTGCAGCGGCATGATCTCGTCTCACTGCAACCTCCACCTCCCAGGTTCAAGCGATTCTCCTGCCTCAGCCTTCTGAGTAGCTGGGATTACAGGCGCCCACCACCACACCTGGCTAATTTTTGTATTTTTAGTAGAAATGGGGTTTCACCATGTTGGCCAGGCTGGTCTCAAAACTCCTAACCTCAAATGGTCCACCCACCTCGGCCTCCCAAAGTGCTGGGATTACAGGTGTAAGCCACCATGCCTGGCCAGGCCAGCGTTCTGAGAAGAAATAGTAACACTCCCTTTTCTTGCCTCTTTTAGGTCGCAAGTCTGGGAAGGGCTTTTACATCTATCAGGAGGGTGTGAAGAGGAAGGATTTGAATTCTGACATGGATAGTATTTTAGCGAGTCTGAAGCTGCCTCCTAAGTCTGAAGTGTAAGTCCATTTGAGTGGCTAATGCCTGGAAATAGACTTTCTCTGACAGCCCAAAGTTTCCCAGCCCCTCTTTCATTTTCTTTCTTTCTTTTTTTTTTTTTTTAAATTAACTTCTGGGATACATATGCAGGTTTGTTACTTAGGTATACACGTGCCATGGTGCTCTCTTCCATTTTCTTTGTGACCACCATACCTGAACAGGAGGACCACTCCTGATGCTGGCATGGTAGCTTTCCAAGTGGAAGGCCCTCACACGTGCTGCCTTGGTCTCTGCCTGGCATCGAGGTGAGAACCAGGCCACGTCTGGTGAAGGCCCTCCCTGCTCCAGCCTTCTCTGGCAAGGTCCCAGAGAGCTGCTGGAAGGACAGATTCTCCTTGGCCCCTTCACCCTCCCAGATCTTTATTGGCATTTGTGAGCAGCTGACTGTTGCTGATGCCAAAGAGATACTGATTATCTTGGCACCAGGCCCTGTTCTAGGTGCTCAGTTTCATGTTAATTAGGGCAAGTTACTCTCCACTTTTTCCATGGGAAAGTTTGGCCCACCCAGGCAGCATCTTCTCTGAGGGTCAGCACCAACCGGCCCACAGAGCTCCCCATACACCTATCCCGACTTCCGTTCTGCATCTGTGGGTCTGGCTTTCCTCCCCTTTTTCTCTTCTTCTACCTAAACATCTCTCTGTTGGCAGCTCCTCAGACGAAGACATCCAGTTCCGCCTGGTGACAAGATTTGTGAATGAGGCAGTCATGTGCCTGCAAGAGGGGATCTTGGCCACACCTGCAGAGGGAGACATCGGAGCCGTCTTTGGGCTTGGCTTCCCGCCTTGTCTTGGAGGTTGGTCTCGCAGATTGGGAAAGCAGCTCACTTTAGCCTGGAGCCCGTGTTGCATCTCCTTCAACGAACTCCTCTTTCTCTATTCAGGGCCTTTCCGCTTTGTGGATCTGTATGGCGCCCAGAAGATAGTGGACCGGCTCAAGAAGTATGAAGCTGCCTATGGAAAACAGTTCACCCCATGCCAGCTGCTAGCTGACCACGCTAACAGCCCCAACAAGAAGTTCTACCAGTGAGCAGGCCTCACGCCTTGCTCAGTCAGTGCACCAACTCCAGCTGCTGGCAGTGCGGGTTCTCCAACAGAGTGGTCTAGATTTATCAGAGTAACGAGAAGGAAGACAAACTCCGGCACTGGGGTTGCTCCCTGATCAAAGTGCCTTCAGCCAAGACCATCTCTCCCTCCTGGTGAAGTGTGACTGTGAATTAGTTTGCACTTCCTGTTGCAAGCTAGAGCCCACTGTGCTCATTGTATAAGCCCTGAGGCCTAGAGTGGCAGCCAGGAGCCATCTGGAGCCACCTCTCTGCCTGTTCCTCCCAAGAGGCCAGGGGTGGTGAGTGGTGAGGGCAATTCTGCACCCAGCCAAACACATAACAATAAAAACCAAACTCTGTGTCAGTGTCTTTGCCCTTCTGGTTTAAACACCTCCTTCATAAAGCAATCTGGAAGAAAGCCCTGTGCTTTGGAAGTAAGAATGTGTGTGCAGAATTCTAGGCAGCACCTTAGGGAGGGACTGGGATGAGAGAAAGGGGGACCTGGTGGGCTCAACCACACACACCTGTCCGTGTAGATGCCTTGCCTGGGCTTCTGCTCACCACAGTGTACCAGGATATAAAGCACTTTCCCCAGCCTGGGTTTCCTCATTGTCTGATCTTACCCATTTCTTTTCTGGGTGTGCCTCATTCATAGGTGCTTCTTGGGATGGCTGTGGGAACGCTGGTGCTAAGCACAGGCGCTGACATTTCCCTTGATGTTCAGTGATCCTGGCCAGCCCCAGAAATGCCTGCGCGGCAATCGGGCAGTATGGGAGCGGCATGAGGAGCGCTGACCCCCACAGCACCTGCACTCCCCCATAGCTTCAGCCCCTCCCCACCCCGCCCCCTGGGGTGGAAAGTTCCAACACTCATGTTCCGGCAGAAGCAGTGCCCAGTCTGGGTAAACAGCGCTGGGGCTGACTGGGTCTGGCAGAAAGATCCACGCTGTGTGTGTGTGGAATTGTAATTCTAGTCCCATCACATTCTGCATTCTAAACTGTCAGATATTACCAGTTACCCCTGCCTCTGCTCTGTTACTTCAAATATGTCCCTGGTCCCAGCTCTGTAGCTGGGACTGGCAGGCAGAGAGATCAGCTCTGGCTCTGCTTAGTCACTAGGAAGCCAGACCCTAAAACCAAGTCACCTCTGACTTGGGGTTTTCAGATGACCAGAGTACGGAGCTGATCCCTTGCACCAAAGCCATTAATAGGCTTCCAAATTTGGTCTGAGAGCCTGAGGCTGGCATTCTGCCAATGCAGGAAGCTAAGCTTGGGCCCTGGCTGGTGGCATTCAGCTTTGAGCCTGGGTCTTTCCCTTCAGTAACACCAGGTAGTTGTGAATTATGTTGAAACTAGTGGGAGCTGGAGGGGTTCTTGTAGGGTAGGGAGGGGCTGGCAATGGCCTTGCAGAAGGGAATGAAGGCTGCCACCAGCCACCTCCGCAGACGGAATGGCCACACGCACACATCATTCCTCCATCAGTCCTCTCCTGCCTGAAGGCATATACGCTGCCCATGGGTCCCCATGGCCTTGTTTTCAAAAGAAGAAAGCAGCTGGGACCCAGAATGCCACTTGTACTAGTCTTCAGCAGTCTAGCATTTATTTCACTAGTCCTTGAGGATTCTTTAAATGATCTGCAAGAAAACCAAATGTCCCCACATCACAGGTTTTGTGCTCTACTCTCTGACCACTTCTCTGAGCTGAGGCAGCCTGCTTGGAGTATGGGCACCAGCATGGCTTAGCTACTCTTAAGATAAAAAGTAGAGGAAATAAATAGGTAGACTAGGTAAGGCAGAAGAGAAGGCTGGCACCTTGGACCCTGACACTAGTGGGCACCCTATGGTTCTGGGTGAGATGGAGGGCACAGGGGTAGGGTGGGGTGTGTGGTTGGACACAATGACCAGAGCTCTGGGTACCAAGCAGATCCCCATGTTTGAGATTCAAGGGCACAAAGACCTGCTCTGAAGCACGTGAACAAGTGCAGGACTGAGCTCCAGGACCACGCTCTCCCAAGTGTACCCTCCTGTGCCAGTGACAGAAAACCAGGGAAAAACACCAAAAATCATATTGTCAGAGCCAAATGATGGGAGCAAGAGATTGGCAGAATTGGGGGTGGTTGACTACCACTTGTTTCTAGAATCAAGGAGAAGCTGACCTAAATCGACCTGCTCTTCCACGGAGACAGTATTCTGAGACTGAACCCACCTGACGGATGGATAACTAGTTGCAGTAAAGTCAGAGGGGAAGCCAGGGTGCTAGAGCCATCTGGGCAGTGTCTGGCTTCCTAACTAGATAAGTGGGTCGAGTCAATAGCAGAGCTGTGCTCTTCCAAAGCCGTCATCCATGAACCAGAACCCACAGGTGGAGCTTCTGAGGTGCCATGGCTTAGGCTTGTACACGACTCACCTGTGTGCAGGGCCAGGCCCCCTCAACCGCAGTGGAGCAGAGGGGGAAAGGAGAGGCATCCCAGAGACACAGACATCTACACCCTCACTCTGGGGCAGCTTTAGGTCAAAAGCCCACAGAGCACAAAGGAGAGTGGGCACTTGGGAAATTTGTGCTTAAATTACCGGCCATCTTGTCTCTAAACAGAGCCTACAGGCTTGAGCAGTGGAAGTCATTTGTGAAGGTCTATAGCAGGGCATGAGGAGGTGTTAGGTCACCCTGAAGGCCAGCTTTTGACCCCATTGTGGGAATCACAGCAAATGCCTTACTGGGCTCAGGTACACAGTGGTGCCCCCAGCCCCTTTCCCATGTATTCTGCACACTCAAAGGCAAGCTGTCCCGTGCAGGGTTTGAGCCCAGAGGATCACATTTCCACGTGCATCTCCCCTGGATCCACCCAGTGGCTGCCGAGCAGTCTGTCTCGACATCGATCCTCCCTGCAGGCAGCACCTGCTCCTCCCAAGTGCTGTCCCTGGGGCCCCCATGCCAGCATTCCAGCTGTGCAGCTCCAGCTGGGCAGTTCAGATCTTGGGCCTCCAGCCTTTGATGAACTGCATGATCTTCTTGACCTGCAGCTTGGTGAGGTGGAAGTCATCTGCCAGGATGTCCTCACTGAGCTGCACGAAGATGCTACCATCGATGCGTTCTCGGGCAAAGAAGCTCACGACATCCTCTGAGAGCCCGATGAAACGCAGACTGCGAGAGACCTCCTCCAGGGAGAGCGCAGACAGGTCAGCAGGGGGCTGCCAGGAGGAAGCATCCCGGACTCCAAAGCCTGTGGCTCCATCCCGGGGACTGGCAGGAGGCCCTTCCAGGCGCCCTTGGGTTAGAAAAAGTCGTCCTCCTCCTGCCTCAGGTCCCTGCAGAGCAGCTGGTGACAGTGGGGTGGGGACCTGGCGCAGCACCAAACCTTCAGGCTCAAAGGCCTTGGGGGGGCCAAGTGGGGAAAGGCAGGGTCCAGGCCCAGGTGTCCCCACTGCTCTGGGCTCCTGAGAACGCAGCAGCTCAGGCTCTGGAGAACTGCCCTGCCCCAGCTCAAAGGGATCGAAGGGCTCCAGGGCTGGGTCCTGCCATTCAGAAGAGGAGGAGGAGGAGGGGGCGCAGGAGGCGGGGGGAGCAGCTGAATAGGCCTGGCCTGGCGAGGCCGGGCCTGGGGAATATGCAGGGCCAGAGGTAGCCACAGGACCCAAGGTGGTTGTGGGGCCAGAAGAGGAGGCCGCTGAAGGGCCTGAGGGGTAGGCAGGCCCGGAAAAAGGGTTGAGAGCTCCAAATGGAGCAAAGCGCTTCTGGGGGTGTGAGGGCTTGAATAGAGGAGGGCAGCTGTGGTAGGTCTTAACAGGGGTGTCAGCCCCCAGAAGGGAGGCGGCTCGACCGCTCAGAGGCTCTGTGAGGGCCCGGGAGGCCTGGCTGGGCTGTGTGGTTGAGGGTAGGGGTCCGGGGGCTGGGCGGCTAGAGGATTCGCCCACCTTGCAGTCTCCCCAGGTGCATGGGTAGCAATAGAGAGAGTACGTGTCCGGTGATGGGGAGCCACTGCCACTGCGGGAACCCACCCTGTGGACACAGACAGACACACACACATAGGACAGGTGAGGCTGAGTGAGAGGGAACATGACAGGGTCACACATGCAATGCAGCCAAGCACCACCGTGACCTCAGCAACACGGGCCTGCACCCCAGCCCCAGTCCAAGACCCCCCGGAATGGCCCTGTTCTTCCTTCCAGCATCCCCCAGCCCAGGTCAGAAAACATAGGGGAAAAACCAAATGAAACTGAACTTAATAAAAATTTCTTCTTTTTTTTTTTAAGATGGAGTTTCGCTTTGTCGCCCAGGCTGGAGTGCGGTGGTGCAGTCTTGGCTCACTGCAACCTCCGCCTCCCAGGTTCAATCGATTCTCCTGCTTCAGCCTCCTGAGTAGCTGGGATTATAGGCACGTGCCATGATGCCCGGCTAATTTTTGTATTTTAGAAGACATGGAGTTTCACCATGTTAGCCAGGCTGGTCTTGAACTCCTGACCTCAAGTGATTCAACCCAACTCGGCCTCCCAAAGTGCTGAGATTACAGGCATGAGCCACCGTGCCCAGCCTAAACCTAATAAATATTTCAAAACAGCAAGGAGCTCTCTTCCCTCTATCCTGCAGCCAAGTCCCCACCTTGAGGGGACCAGGGCAATGTTCCCATCTGTTCCTCAACATTTAAGAGAGAAAGAAGCTGGAGTGGGCAGAACAGGCCACTGGGCCCCAGGTCCCAAGACACCCAGACACCCGTGCCCCTCCCTCAGCCACTGTACATGGACCTGCACCCTCGGAACTTCCCAGGCCTGAACAGTTTCTCTTCCTCAGCACCAGAGTCCCCCCTCCTCACCCTTCCCTGCCTCGATCTACCTTAGAACTGAGGACCAAGGGAAGGCAGGGACTCACCCATCCTGGAGGCCAGAGGAGTAGTAGGAGAGGCTGGAGCTGGGGGAATGTACCGGCTGCAGCTTGGGGAAGCGAGGGGGAACCGGGGGGCTGCCGGAGAGCCGGCCACTGCCATTGCCACCCCGGGGAGGCACTGGAGGGGCGTTGAGCAGGCGGCACTCCTCCTTCACCTACAAGCAGAGGGCGGTGACTCCACCTCGACTCCAAACAGCTGGCACTCCTTATCTTCCCCTTCCCAGGCGGTGACTCCACCTCGACTCCAAACAGCTGGCACTCCTTATCTTCCCCTTCCCAGGCGGTGACTCCACCTCGACTCCAAACAGCTGGCACTCCTTATCTTCCCCTTCCCAAGCAGCTGGGCAAGGGGGCTGTCTGGGCCTGACACTTGCCCCACTTTGCCAATAGGCTGCCTTGCACCCCAACTGCTCATCCAGTCAGCCAGCCACCTAACCCTTCCTAGCCTATCTCACGCACCCACACCCTGTCCCAACGCACGCACAGCCTCCTTCCTGTTCCTTGGAAACCCATTATGAATGTTAAGAAAAAGAATACAGAGGTAGATCAAAACAGGTTAAGCAGACGTGCTCTCTCCTCAAGGAAAAGGAGAGAAAGCAGAGGACAAAGGCAGGCCGAGGGAACCGAGGGAAGGAAGCGTCTGCCACCTGCATCTCTCCCTACAGGTCGCGTACCCCAAAGAGGACTCCATGGGATGCTGACGGGTGTTACGGGCAGGGAGAAAACGTTCTGATAAACAGGATTCCTTAGTGCAGGACTTCTCAGAGCTTTTAATATACCAATGCTCTGTGACTCCAACACAAGGAGGAGGGAAAAAGGGCTGGCAATCACTCACAGCATCTCTAAGCTTACTTCGCCAAGGAAACTTCTTTTCACGGAACAACTTAAACGACCCCTGTTCTGTGGAACCTTCTGGGTAACAGTGTTTCGGGGCTTCTCACAAATCCTCCGAGGCTGGGGACCTACACGCCTCTCTGTCCCACAGCTCCCCCGCCACCGTCCGCCCCAGTGCCCCTTACTACAAATGCTCTTGCCTGGCATGGCTCTGCCCTTTCCTTCTCCCCTTCCCCACCCCGCCACCTCATCTGCCACATACTCCTGGGCCGGGGCTCAGGAGAGCGGGCTTTGGGCCCTGGCTGGACCCGGGACTCGTCC